TCTCTCTCTCTCTCTCTCTCTCTCTCTCTCTCTCTCTCTCTCTCTCTCTCTCTCTCTTTTCCTGCCTAATAAACGTGAGTAATCAGCCCGCGTTGATTACGTTCCTGCCCTTTGTAGAGACCAGCATTTGTTCCCACCGACTGAATGGTCCGGTGAAGTGTCTGGGTCGCGGTAATGCCGCTGGGAGTGCTGCGAGAAGAAATTCGTTGAACATTATATTTAGAGGAAGGAGAAGTCGTGACAATGTTGCGGAAAGATCGGGGGGAAAAAAACGATTCTCTGACCGTGTTTACGTCCTTGGTGCATGTATTTGCAGTCCAAAAGATCGGGAAAAAGAAACCGACTATCTGAGCGTATTTACGTTCTTGGTGCATGTCCTTGCAGTCATGTAGGTTCGCCTCAGCGCCCGTCCCCAACTTACACTTGTCTTTGTGTGTATGCGTGTGAGAGAGACAGAGACCCCTTTCATTTCGTTTCTTGTTTTCCGTATCCGACTGGAATTGCGTATACATTCCCGCACTGAAAACCCGTTAGTACTAACTCCTACCAACCCGCTCCTACTAAATACTACTGAGCCAGTACGGGCGCGTGCCGCACGCACGCACACACACACACACACACACACACACACACACACACACACACACACACACACACAGCCTTTTTTCTTTTTCTCTGTACCTGAATGGAGTTGCCTCTTCATCCCCTCACTGAAAAACCCGCTACTACTAACTACTGAACCAATATTGGCGCGGGTCACGCGCGCGCACGCACACACACGCACACACACACACACACAGAGGGAAGTTTTTTTTTTCATTTTTTTAGTACGGACCATTTCTCCATTTACTATGTATGTGTGTCATCCTTGTGCACGGGCCGTGCTAATGATTTTTTGTTTTTTTTCTTGGGAACTGTGCAAAACACTGCTTAACGAAGTTGCTCAGTTCAGTGGCCATGAGACGCGCTTTCCTCCCACTTGCTGGCTGCGTAGGGGGCTGCACAGCGGAGAGCTCCGCTGGATGCAATTTCCTAAACAGGCAAACAGGCGCGAGCATCTGGACGCAGAAGGTTACACGTCTGCCCTCTTGCCTGGGCCGCTTCAACCCGACGAAGGGCAGGGTCCAGATGTGGCGTGTTCGGCCCCTTCAACCCAACGGAGGTTTTAGTTCGGGATACCAGGCCAGGCGGCTCGGAGGCCACCAACAAACAGATAATGGTGGCGTAAGTGTTTCGCGACCTACCTCATCAAATTACCCTCCACCCTCCACCCCCCTCCTCCTCCTCCTCCTCCTCTCTCTCTCTCTCTCTCTCTCTCTCTCTCTCTCTCTCTCTCTCTCTCTCTCTCTCTCTCCCCCCCCTCTCTGTCCTCTCTCTCTCTCTCTCTCACACACACACACACACACACACACATCTCTGCCCTGCAGACCCCTCTTCCACTCTCTCCCCCTTCCACTCCCTTCTCAGCCTTCGGCCTCTCTTCATTCCCACCTGCTCGCATTTTCAAACGCCCTTGTAGAGACCAAGGACAACTGCTGCAGTACACACCCAGTCGATACGGGGGCGATCGGTAGGTCCGTCCATTAATGGACGCGCCACTCACATAGAGAGTAGAGCAGGAGAAACCGGCATAGAGAGTGAAGCATACTGCCAGGCACCCATAACTCACCTTCAAGCCATCTGCGGAGAGCAGTCCGCTGATGATGCGCTCTTTCCCACCCGTGCCTAGCACGAGGGCATCATGCACGTCATCCATGATTGAGTTAATGACCGACCTACCCGCTAGGGTAAGACAGCTAGGATACCTATCAAAAACAAAACACCAGGAAAATTTGAGCACCAAAACATTCAGCACAGACTACAGAAAAAACGAAAACCCTCCATGTCCACAACCTAATAACAACACCCAGCAAACTCCCGACAAAAGGAGCGGCGGAGAGGGGACTCACCAAGGGAGAGGAAGAGAAGCGCACCAAAAGACCAAGACCTGATTCGCAAAACAGTACGAGGAGGGAAGCCATAGAACGCAGAAGAGGAGACGAAGAGTAGGGCAAATGACACGCATACGACAGGCAGAGTGCACAAGAGGACATAAGTAATACAATACGTTAACCAAAAAAAAAAAAAAAAAAGACGTAGAAGGGGGGAGAGGGAACAGCATGGAGGATAAAATCGGAGATAAATCTACAGAGTACATACTGTAATTTGAAAGAAGACAAAAGATGATCATCGAATAGAGAAAGAGAGAGAGAGAGAGAGAGAGAGAGAGAGCAGAGAAAGAGATTACAAGAAGAGAGGTAAATTACGGCACGGACGAAGGAAAGAGGATAGGGGGACGAGACCACATCTTAAGCTCATTCGTCAAAGGGGAGTGATGAGAACCAGTACTATCCTCTTCCCCGGAACACAACAAGCGTTCATCATTACCGTACCCGGCCGTAAAAACAGCTTGTATACATTAATTGCGAAGGTGCGTTCTGCTCGAGGACGACGGTAGAGCGGATGAACGTGAAGATAAACGAATGTCATCAAAAAATAAACACTCAACATACGTGAGCGCCATGCCCAGACCTTCACAAGCTCAAAGTAGACAAGCCAAGCCAAGCCGAACGAGCACGCAACATTTACAAAGCCACAAAGAATACAAGCCAAACATGCACGCAATCTTCGCGCGGGCAAAAGAGACAAGCCGAGCGCAGCCAGCCAAGCATGCAAAAACTTCGCGCAGGAACAAAGGAGACAAACCAGGCCACGTCAAACAAGTCCCCCACGAACGTCCTGTCGCCGGGAGGCGACGGCCAAAGACGAGATTATGGGGAACTTGGGAGAAGCTGACATCCGATCAACTACTGGTAATACCAGTCGTTCCGTCAATCGTCTCCCCGTCGAAAGAAAAGGACCAAGATAGCGTGTGACATAATCCCACAGCACGTGAGCTGGAAACGAGCCAAATACATAATGTGTGACGTACGCATAGGTCAGCAACTTCAGACACCTTCGCCGAATCGCTGGACACCGAAATGCAGCAAGGCACAAAGGAGACAGTGTGCGACGTATTCACACAGGCGACGCATGCACACACCCACAAAGTAGATAGTGTGCGACGTAATCAAACACAGGCACAAAGGAGGTAGTAATCGACGTATTCACACAGGCGACGCATGCACACACCCACAAAGTAGATAGTGTGCGACGTAATCAAACACAGGCACAAAGGAGGTAGTAATTGACGTATGCACACAGAGGCACAGAGGAGAGGAGCCAAAGTACATAGTGTCTGACGTACGCATACGTCACACGGGAGGGACAAAGGAAACGAGCTATGTAGATAGTGTGCGACGTATTCACACAGAAGCACAAAGATGTGGGCGACACATGCCACATGCACACGCACGCACAAAGGCGATAAGCAGAGTCAAGCCGATCACGCACTAGTAGTTAGCGAACTTCCTGCCGACGACCGAACGTCCAAAGGAGATGATGGAAACCCTGGAAGAACCGATGACATCCAATCAATGATCAATCAATCCCCCTCGTCCCATCAAACACTTCTCCATCGGAACAAGGAACAATATAGTGTGCATTAGGAGCAAGAGATAGTGGGTGCCATGTGAAGAACAGCAGCGTACAGGGAGGAGAGTATAGGATTGCTCCGCGGTGAAACACCGACCTGCCGACAGGGGGCAGCTCGGCAGACCTGGGCTCCGCGCACGAGCTTCGCGTCGAGGGACTACCACGCTGCGGCGTTCCGGTTCGCTGCCATTCGTACCCGTAGCATCTGACGGGGAGAGAGAGGGGTCAGGGAAGACGACAAGAAAATCACGCTCGCAACGAATCGGGCACGCGTTCCTACACAAATGGTATTGCCTCCCTCTTTTTTTTTTTCTCTTTTTTTTGCAGTAGCCTCCCTCTTTTGGGCCTCGCTCCACCACTCACCACATGCACAAATTACAAAAACTATGGCGGTGTATCTTTCCATGTTCTCAACAACGATTCATACTCATTTTGCACATTTGGTGAGTGACTCATTTTGCACATTTGGTGAGTGGTGCAGAGAGACCCTTTTTGTCTCTCCTCGCCGCTCCTCGGGTACGACGATGAGATGGCTGAAGGAGGATGGTCTGGACTGGACAATTTGTTCCCTCGCCCCGGTATTGGGTCGGTTCCAGGTAGTATTTCTCTAACACTCCGGATCTCACGAGTCCAACCCTAGACCCTACCTACAGCGGAATCATGGGGGGCTAGGGGGGGGCTAGAGCGGTGGGGGGGGGCGGGGGGGCAGAACGGTTTTCGCATGACCTTCGACAAGGCAAGCGCGGGGGGAGATCGAGGGAGCAAGCGCAGGAGTCAGGCCGCTATACAGGATGCGTGTTAGCAGCCTGTCAGGGTTGCATTTCCCCCCCCAAGGACATTTCAATGTCAATCAAATTTCAACGTCGGTGGTCGTCGGGAGGGTGGGCATTTTGAGGCCGGTAGCTGCCCGTAGGAGGCCGAGGAGGCCATGGTCCTTAAACCACCAGTACCTCCAGCCTGTTTTTGTCGACCCTGAATTTTACTGCGCTCCGAGTTTGCCGAGCCTGGGTCCCACTCCATTTCTTTTTTTTTCTTTTTTTTTTCCAACAACAAATTCAATTATCAATACGAAATGAGGTCGGGGACCTCACAATTCGACCCGGAGGTATTTGACAACATCAACCAGCTTAGCTTACAGATAGGAGACCTGCGAATACTCCTGCTAACCCAGAGTATATCATAAGAAATGAATCTAATTTTCGAAACGACCAATATTCAAAACCACGCCTGACCATGACTTCCCTGCTGAAAAAAACAAATGATTGTTACAAAACCATTACGGAAACAGTGGATTCCTAGGCGAGTTTCCCACTTAGTCCATGATCTATCTGGGACTAACATGGCCCAGAGGACTTCATCCGGACTTGTTGGCACTCTACTAATGGTCCACAGCGACCTTACTGAACCGAGTGCCCTGGTTTTGAAAAAACCCTATCTCTGACTACCCTGATGACTCGCCAGGCTATCCACCATCCCCGCCTGAATCCCTACGTTTTCAAGGCAGCTTCTCAAGAAATCAGTCTGAGAAGACAAGACCCTTACTTGGGTGTAATATCACCCAAAGGCTGTTGGTTGCCCACGTCTGTTGAAACCACCTCAATTGTTGCCTATTGCCCTTACCTGATTCCGCTTTGCCTCTCCAGCTCGCACAGATGGCGTGCTTCAGCCCCTGTTTGATGTTTCTTTTTGTTTCCACGTCTGAGAAAGGCCGCCCTTCGAATCTGGATCGCTTTCTGTCCTTCCATATTATCTCGCATAGCAGACCTCGGACCACATGGGCTGCATAACCCCATCCTTTGTGACCTTCAATGTGAGCTGGGAGAAACCCCAACAGGGCCCATCTCTCTGACCAATCTACTCCCTGGCCACCCCAGACTCTCCAGTGGTGTGCCCACCAGTTCCAGACGCGTTTGGACGCGGTGTGAGGAAACCCAGGGAGGGGCACCTGCTGTTCGCTGAAGCCAAAGGCTACGGCGCCTGTCACTCGCCGCGCCCGCTTCAGAGGTCCTCAACGACCAGCAGGGCAGTGGGGTTTTACTTCGCCTGTCGCACTTCCCCACTTTCCACTAGTTTCTTTAACATTCTTTGGGACAGTAATCTTTGAGAATCCTTAATCGAGAATATAGGAGAACATTTATTTACCACTTCTGAGAATTCGCGCGGACTTTCTTATAAAACTTCTTCCTCCAGTTCCTTGTTTGGGACAACTTTTCCTGATCTCCGTTTGCATCGGTTAGATCAGGGAGTCGCTCCAACCAGATCTCAGGTAAGTCCTCAAGAGTACAGTAGATCATCAAACATCTCAGACGCAAGTATGTGACTCGAGGTTTCTCAGAACAGCAAAAGCATAACGAACATGTATGTATTGTGTAATCTGTCAAACAAGCAAGAGCATAACGAACAGGTACGTATTGTAGAATCACTCATAACGGCAAGAGCATAACATATACAATACCCCAAAGTTCACTTATTTTCGTCCGTGTTCGCCCTCACTTTCCCTTGACGCTTCGTCCCTCTCAGCTCACTCACTTTCCCGGTCTCTCTTCCTCACGCACACCCAGTCTCACTGCCTTTCTCTCTCTCACACTGTATTTCACTAGGTTGTCTTGTCTTCCCTTCCCTCTGTTTACCGCACCGACTGATCCAACAATAATGATTAAAGGACCAGTTCTCAGATTCGCCTTCAGGCAATCGACAGTAAATGGACCGCGGACGAGCGCTAGACCCCGTCCCGATTAGAGGGCTTCCAAACCGTTTGTCGAATCGAATTCTTGAATAATTAGCTAGTCAGTTACCCAGTGAAATTTTAAGGAATCAGTAAGCCAAAGAACAAGCTTGTTTTCCTGGGGGTGATCCGGAACTCAGTAGTATAATCTGCATGCCAAATTCTCACAGACTTGAATAATTGAAAGTAGAGTTTTCCCCCCTTTTTTAGCGAATTCTGACTCAATAATTACCCTTGGTCAACGGCTGTTCACTCGTGAAATGCAGCAAATGTACATCTTGGAGAGTTCCTCCTAATTTGAACTAGTGACGAACTTTACACACAGTCTGTGGGTTTAACCCAATCCTCCTTCAGATGGACTTTCCCCTGTTTCCTTTGTTCACAGTTCCCCGCAAAATCATAAAAAAAATTAATAATAGTAATAATAATAATAATAATAAACGAGAACAAAATCAGACTACAAATTTCTCAGTTCCTCGCGAGCATCTCTCACACCCATGCCCAAGGATCTTCTCTCTCTTCGTAGTTCCGACTTCTGGGAGTATGTTTCGAAAACGAAACCCACAAGCTTTGATTCCTTCTGCCCCACTCGGTGCTTGCCCTTGCTGTCACTGACTCCTAACGGATCTTAGTCGCGCTTACGTGCTTATCTGTAAATGGGATAGTCTTACTTATAAAGTCGAGCTTCGTTTTCTAGTTCTCCGCTCCTGTCCTCTCATTTAGGGGCCGAGATTGGTTGAGCTCTACTTCAACGGAAATGATCGTCTCCATAGGTAAAGGTACCACTCTATTGTCTCGCCAACCAAAGTATCCGCTCGTCTCAACAACATGAATGCTTGACTGTCTCACGAGACCAAGTGTCCTTTCGTTAACGCGGATGTTTGATTGTCTCATCAGCGAGACTGACTGGTTTCCCTAGCTTCTAGAGTGCTGGATTATCAGGCCAGTGACTTCGACATGTCCACGCCAGCCTGCAGCAGCGATGCCTGATTGGCTGTTAAGCGGGAGCGACGGTTCCCGCTAGCAGCGGGCTATTCGAGTGACTGATCGACGTATGTAACTGTTCCCACTAACAGCGGAACTGTTTGCCATACACACCATACCGGTTCGTTCTTGCTCGATCATCTCTCTTCCCCACCCCCTACGAAGCTCTTCGGTAGCGGGGTAGCCCTCGTCATCACATAGCTCTCATTACCCGCGCTGTGCAAGCATTTGCCCCTTGGATCGCCCTCCCCGCGTTCGCGTCCCCCGTGAGCGCTGTACACCAGGCACGCAGAACGATTCTCTCCAACTCTCCGCCCGAATGCGAGATGAGGGCGGAGTACACCATGCACTCACACCATATTGGATGCACCTAGGCTCTTTTCCCCGACAGATGCCAAATTTCGAACAGTAAAAGGAAGCAGATTCTCATCTGACGCATGCCCCCTCCCTTTCTCACTCTCTCTCTTCCTTTTTCCCTCTGCCTACTCACTGGAGCATCGGGTTCGATCACCCTCCCTTTGTCTACCGCGCACCGTCCTTGGGGAGCGCACGCTCGCCTCTTCCTGTTCCGAACCGGGCCGCGAAGTGGGCGGGGTACACCTGGCAAGCCGTAAGAGACTTCCCCTCGTCTGAATGTCCACTGGTACTCGTTGCACCTTGCTATATTCACATCGATTCTCCCTCGTAGGCTCAACACAACTGGATCTATTTCCTCGAACGGTACCTGAGTCTTCAGACCCCCTGCAGAGGCAGTGGACAGGCTCGAGCCAGTAGGCCTAGCACTCCGACTGTGGTGGTAGCAACGGCCTTCAGGCCAGGGTTCGTATTGCAGTAGGGCTTGTACCAGTTAGTCTTATCTGAAGGCTCGACAGTTGCCGCAAGTCGATCGTGGCAGCCCTAGCCGTAACAAGCCGGCTCGACATCGTGCCAATGCCAAAATTAGTGAGCCCCGACAATCCAAAGTTGTACCGAAGCACCACACCATGAAATAACTATACCAACCAAGTCTCGAATGGTACCTGCGCCACGACTGTACCTAGATCGACGTACCGAGCCTCGAAGGCCTGGAGAGGTAGAGTCCCTCCTCCTAGTTGCACCTGAAGTAGCTGCCGCAAAACAATAAAGGTCTATGCCGTCACCATACCAATGTCGAACCAGGGAATTACCGGTCTGAACCGTAGCGCCCGTACCGTACCATCACCGAACATGAAAACCCTGCACCGTACCTGGGCCGAGCCTGAAAACCAGTACCGGGCTGCTATATCGTGCCGATGTCGAACTCGCGCGGCCATGTCGGAATAGCGCTGATCCTGTCCCAAACCTGAGAATAAATACCGGTTCGCATCGCCGTGTTGGTGCCGAATCAATCCGATCTTGAAATATGTCGAGCATTTGTAATTTCGAATCTATACGATGTCACACCTGTCCATGCCGAATACCGTAGAACGTAGCCA